GTCAAGACTCAGTCAGAAAGACCGAGGGGAGGAGAGGGCCTAGGTAGCTGACACCTGGCCTAGGTAGGAGCACTTGAACGTAGCACCACACCCCCTGGTCCAGAACGTACACTGACCAGGATTTTGAGCCACGACAAAAATGGGGTTGGGGACCGCAGAGACCCTAGTTGGCGCGGCGTGAGCGTTATAGGTGCTCATTCCCGATGGCGTTCGCCGGATTCCGATCTTGCTCCCGTGTTGGCTCAGCACACCAACAGCTTGGCTCGTCTTAGGAAGCACAACAAACAAACACACACACACACGCGCACACATCTGGGATTTGAACATCCGTCTTCGCTTCTCTCTCCCACTGAACCATTAGTGACTCCATTTCTGAACATCTCTGAGCGTCTCTCTAAGGTCGTCTACGTCAGTTGCATTGACGACATGGTGAAATGCCCTCAAATTCGAATTTGTATTATTCCACATTAGTATGCAACACAGGGGGCAAGGTGGTGCTTGGGTTCTGTCTTCTGCAGCAAGCCACATTCGTTCTCTGTCCATGTCGCATTCTTATGAGGCGGTTGTGTTCGAGGGTGACTTTTAGAACATGAGAACCGGTGTTGACTCTGTTACCGACACGGATTTACCATAGGTTGCGACTGCTTGTACGTCGGAGTTAGCATAAACGATGATTGTTTTTTGCCTTGTTTAATTTCCGAGGAAATTATTGCGCAAACTTCGCGCAAACCCTTCTGAACAGCCCTTTCCAGGGACGGTCCGAAATTCAATATGAATATTTGAGCTGAAATCCATCAGTTACTGCGGAATATTTGCAAACCACCAACAGACAATCAGTAGTATATGATTGTGTAATTATTTACCGTACTGACAACACAGGTAGAAGCTAAAAGCCCCGACACGCGGGTTCTGCCGAGCTTGTGCCGCTGTATCCCCCGAGCCTTCCCCCGGTGTTTTCTGGTATATGATGGATTTCAGCTCAAATATTCATATCAGATTTCGGACCGTGCCTGAAAAGGTCTGTTCCGGAGGGTTTACTCTGAGTTCGCGTATTAATTTCCTCGGAATTTAAGCAAGGCAATGTGACACGGGAGTTCATATACCAGAAAACACACAGGAAAGGCTGGGGGACCCACTGATGAGTAGAACCCCTCTCAGCTGCGTCAGGCAGCGGCACAATATCGGCGAAACAGGCATGTCTGGGCTTTTATCTTCCACCTGTGTTGTCAGTACGGTAAATAATTAGAAAATCCGATAATTTTTTCACGCTTTTTGAAAAGGTGAACTTCTGAGTTGGCTTTGGTCCTGACATCATTTTTGACAGATATGTTAGGTGCTTTTTGGATGGAAATCTTACCAGCCGTCTGTCCGGACACCTGTATTACAGGCGGTTTTACGCAAAATTCCAGGAGAGGGAGTTAGCTATTTCATGTACTAGCTTTAACCCTAACATGAGCCGAACTCCTCTAACCCTCGTAACTCCAATCCAAACCCCACCCCTAACATTTGACGCTGATCCATCTGTCACGATCTCTCTAGTGAGGAAATCCAGCAAAATACAGTAGATGTGCTAACTCATGAAATGTCAACCAAAATTTCGAAATGCATTCTCGTTTCGAAAGGATAAATTAAGTAGCGCTGTAAAACTAATCATGATGCAGCATAAATCTATAATGATCCAGTTACCCCAGGGTGTCGGCTTTCGAAAGAACTTATTTGCGGCTGCATGCAAGATCTATACTCTGCAAAAATGATTACTTACATAGTATGCAATTTTCTCATTGATTTTCGATGTCCTTGAAAATTCAATTATATTTAATGGTAAACATGCATAAAAATATTCGTTCTTTTACTTATTCGGTAGAAAATCACGTCTTCTTCCAATTTCATACTCGAAAGAAGAGTATAATTCGGTTTTAAAAAACTTTTCTAATTGCCGAATAACTTTGAACCCGACCTGCTGTTACACTTGCATTCAGGGTTTCAAAACTACAAGCTGTATATTTTCCGTGTACGGAAAACCATGCATTTCTCTACGGTGTTAAGAGGAGACCATATGAGGTTCATAATATTAAGTGGTGGATTTGAGCAATATTGTTAACTTTAGAGGCCACATTCTTAAATGCAGATACGTGACGTTTCGTGAGCGGCCGTTAAACAGTATTAAAAAATCTCACAATTAGAAACAGCAGGTCGGGTTCAAAGTTATTCGGCAATTAAAAAAGTTTTTTAAAACCGAATTATACTCTTCTTTCGAGTATGAAATTGGAAGAAGATGTGATTTTCTACCGAATAAGTAAAAGAACGAATATTTTTATGCATGTTTACCATTAAATATAATTGAACTTTCAAGGGCATCGAAAATCAATGAGAAAATTGCATACTATGTAAGTAATCATTTTTGCAGAGTATAGATCTTGCATGCAGCCGCAAATAAGTTCTTTCGAAAGCCGACACCCTAAGGTAACTGGATCATTATAGATTTATGCTGCATCACGATTAGTTGTACAACACTACTTAATTTATCTTTTCGAAACGAGAACGCATTTCGAAATTTTGGTTGACATTTCATGAGTTAGCACATCTACTGTATATTTCTAGTCTAAGCCAAAATGTCTAATATACAGCTGCAGTGACACTTGTAAGACATCCCTAATGGTCGAAAAGTGGAATAATTGTCAAGCCATAAGTCCTCTGAAAACATTCAAAATCTGTGTGCGCATTAACGTCTCTTGGAATATTCCTATCATTTTTTTAAATTCATCAGACACTATTTATCAGGGGGATTTTGTGGTCTCTGTTAGAAAATGCCGTCAGCAACGGCACACCTATGTGTTTATTTTTGGAATTTACGCACTTCGCGGGAAACCTTTTATGTCTGTGGCAGATACCGCAACTTTAGATAAATCTCCATCGGTGTTTTTTTACAACGAGTAATTTTTTTGACTGGACTCGCTTTCTGAGGTACTTGCGGCTACTCGCGAGGTTCTGAATATCTCCTGCGTATGGCCATATGTTTCTATTAAATACTTCCACTAATCGCATGGAATTATCGATCTGTCGTAGTGTTCTATTTAACAGAGCTAGTGGAGTTCAGTATACGTCCCTCGGAAACAATAAAATAGTGAATGGTGTGAGTTAAAAACTACTTGCTGATTGCGTAACCTATTGCAGATCGCCCTTAAACAAAGTCGCATGAATGATTCTCTGGGGCCTCCCAATCGTTACCATCTTCGATTTATTTCAGTATTTAGTAATTAACCCAGAACGGGGACCATAGGCCCTTCCGTGTCAACCAGACTGTCTTCGATGCCAAAATGCGGTCCGGCTCATCAAATGGGATTCCTATTAAGATATACATTTGGCTGTGTGAGCAGCTGATTTAATAGACACGTCTCCGTACTTACTGGTTGTATGGATTTCATTACCTGGCAAACCCTGCGCGCCTATCTCGTCTTACAAAAAGACGAAACGCGGTTACGTTGTCTCCTCTGTAACGTCTTACACTCCATCATCTGCCTGAAATATCACACCACTTTAGCCTGTGCTGTCGGCAAAAGTACCCTGGAAAAAAGTGCACTTTGCGCATGCTTGCCCTGACACACCTTCTGTTGGCGCTTCGGGAGTCGGTCTGACATCTAACAGAAGCAAGTCCATCTTAAATTATCACAGAAATATGCACTTATTGAACCCTGTTAGCGGCTGCAGATGCAGGCAGCGTTTTCATCAGTTTTTGTGTTCTCTTTTCACTAATCATCAGCATTGTATATTTTGCCCGTTTTTTTTCACGGATTCTTGTTTGCGTCTTGTTTGTGTCTACTCCAGGCGATTTATCGTGGACGTTCGTTTTTCCTAACTCTAGTCATTTCTCGCTTATGGAGAAATGTTGGAGCTGTTGAATATATCTGGTTTAATTTGAGACATCACGGGGCAAAAAACGACTGTATTTGAGCTGCTGGTGCCGGTAATGTCTGACATGACAGGAAATAATCCGGTGTGTAAATACGCAGCGTTTTTATTGATTTGGACATACTAACCTGAAGTAAGTCTTCTCTGGACTTTCCGATGGGTGTCTCGATTTTTTGGCAGTCCATATTCGGTGTTGCAGACGCTATTAAGCGTATGGGCCTTAAGGAGTGTGAGCGTATACTATGTCATGATCAGTAAACCATGACCCCTGGCAGTCCGGTACGCACTGGCAGTTCTCTGGCACCTGGTTCCCTGCCAGTGGATGCGTTTGCGCTCCCGTTTGGTATACAGGTCGCGTGCATGGGCGTCCAGTCATCCATGTCCTTTCCGTTGTGCATCTACTCATTTACTTGCTCCTGTGGAGCAGGATACATCGGCCGTACAACGAGACGCCTGGTAAAGAGGGTGCGTGAACATATGCCCGCCTGGCTAGGCAGAGGTGAGACCCGATCGGTTTCGAGTTCTATTCTCGCACATTTAATCGATACGGATCACCGAGTCGATGCCAAGGAAGCATTTCAGGTTGTCTATCGGACACCAACAAGCTTCTCTAAAGGCCTACGCCAACGGATACTAGCAACGGCCGAGGCAGTGGCAATACGGCTAACGAATCCGGTGCTATGCTGTCAGAAAACCCTGACACAAGCGCTCTCTCTGCCGTGACCAACGCCAACCTCACGTGATGACGACATGCCGCCTCAAATCCCTGATTACAGTGATGGGTACTCCGTGTGCTCAATCCAAGAGCATCACTCAAAAACTCGCTTAACCCCCCTACCCCAGCCCTAAGGACCAAAACCCGCCGACCTCGTCATGCGGGCGGCGTGGGAAAGATGAGTGTTAATGACATAATTGACCTTGATACACCTATAAACACCGTTAATTTTGTACACTTTCACTCCTTCATGTAATTGTATTGGCCTGACGAAGAATTACTGAAAACACGTGTTAGCCAACTTGAGTTTTCAAGTGTAACATGGGAATATTTGCGGAACTTTCCGTTGTTGTTGTTGTCTTTGGCCAAAATCCGGATGAAGCGTTTGTTGCGGATCAGGGGATATAGAGTTGGACGCCAAGGTGCGGGCTCGGCCGCGTCACCCGCCCGCGCCCTCCCCGCTTCCGGTCTTCCTGACTCTGTCTTGACAACGGGTCCAGATGAGGAGGAGGAGGAGGACGAGGAGGAGAGTGAGATAGATGCTGTGCAGGCCTGTTCTCACTATAAAATGATTCCCTCGCGAACCCCCGTGTCTGTTCTCACCCTGCTGCGGAGGTCGCGACGATCGAAATGTCATTAGGCGCATGCTCCTTCATCCACCGGTACAGGATTTCTACAGCTGATATTCAAAAATAGCAGTCATATGGTTGCCTGCCTACTCACTAGGTTTTTAATGCTTGATCAGAGTACAGTTTGTCACTCTGAGCGTCCAGTTGCTACCGTCTTCTGATTTCAAAAGTTCTAAGGCATGCCTCTTAGATAAGCAGACAGTTCATGGGGATTATTCCGTACTTCCGTAGAGGGTAACTTCCTCGCCGATCTGGCGCTACACGCTAACGCACAATGATATATAAGACTATGACCGCCAGTATGCCGGGGGCTCGCTGGCGACTTGTGTGTGAAGTGCTTTATGGTAACAGGTATCCGAACAACATCTTTCTTTCAGAATCCCTAACACAGCATTGGTTGAACAGTGTTAGGAGAGCCGCAGATGCGCTTCGACGCAGTCGCTGTCGTTAATGCTTCGTATAGTTCGACCGGCGAAGACACCCACACCTGCCCCATGATGTGGGCCCAATCGCGGTGGTCTCAGGTGGTTTCCGCGCCTATTTATAGCACAGACTGTCAGGTAGAACCTGCTTTTGAACGACAAAACCGCATTACTGACTGACAGATCGGCTGCCTCACGGAGACGAGGGAATATTTAGAGATTATTAAGCAGGACGTCCTACACATGTGCACTGAATGTTCAGTTAATACTCGTTGGCCAATTTTACTACCAGATCAACGGAGTAACGTGGGAATCAGCTCTTTGATCCATCTTGTAGAGATTTTTATCGGAGGACTAGAGAAGAACCAGTCCTGTTCACTTACAAAGGACCTTTATTGCTATGCCCGGCAAACTGATGTCATTTTTGTAATAGTGGACGAGAAGCTTGATTCGGACACCCTCCTGGATGTACTGAATCAGCTTCACCCAGCGCTGAAAAAGGGAAACGAGAGCTCCTCCGTTTTTTGGACGTCCTATTAAGTAAGTCGTCTGACGGACCAAAAGGTTGAGGTTTATTTTGCAGGGAAACATGGGCAGTACAGTACACTAATTTCTACAATTTTATCTCTGTCAGCTATGAATCCTAACCAAGCGAGGTAGGAGGATAATGTACACTTCGGAGACGCTGGGGTACGAACTCGTCTTTATACGAAACACTGGGAGAAAACGGTTTTCCCGATAGATTTATCACGAGATATTCGGAAAAGCGTCATCCAATCAACGGACGTGTCATTGGCGGGCAATGGAGAGCTATTTATCACATCACCGTTTCGAGGGGAGCCGATCAGCGAACCTTTACAAATTCACGCACGTGCCCGACCGAAAAGAAAAGACTAATTTTCTCAAGTATACCCCTCCTTCTTCGTCTTGAAGGCAGGGGCATGCTGGCCTTTCAGACTTCCTCATTGTGCACATACGTCTTCACATGCCTCTGTGAGGCAGGCTGTATTGATCAAGCGTCAAAACGCCTATCCGGGCGAATGCAAAAGCACCATCCTGCATGGCTAGACCAAGGCATAGAAACGTCAATTTCTGGCACAGTTATTGCTCATCTGACTGACAGCAAGAACGGGGTAGACATCATTTTGGGTCATATAGTGTCAGTGGCCATGATGTTAGCCGGCTCAAGCGTGCACTCTTAAAAGACGGCGGTTCAAGCTCTCGAGCTTCCCTGGCTCGACCTAAAATCCACGTGTTCGTACTGTCACCGCGCCACGTCGACCTGCGACGGCGAAGTATAAGCACTACTCATAAGCAGACTCCCCTCCCTCCCCATGCCCCTTATAGAACTAAACTCTAATAACATCCTGTTGTTTCACACGTTTGAATGTTGCCAATAGAAGCGAAGAGACGAGTCCCAGGAAGCAGTCCTGAGGAAGTAGACAATATCGCTGGAACAGGAGCTTTATTTGCCTGACGTTTCGTGTTCCCGCTCAAACCCATCATCAGAGGCGATAGCATGAACAATCCGTATCTGCTATTGTATCTGATGATGGGTTCGAGCAGGAATCCGAAACGTCAGGCAAATAAGGCTCTTGTTCCCGCGACTGTGTCTACTTCTTCACGACATCTGAATGTCTCCAACCTTCCCAGCCATGAGTACTGTTCATTAGCTGGTTTCACTGTTGTTGCTGAACCGAAGAGGAGTAATCAAAAACGCACGTCTGCCGAATTTGATACCTAGGCCAATTTTCTTCCAATGGTCATGTGACCGTCTGTGTGTGTGATCTGTAAACCATTAGCCTCAAGGTCAAACAGAAGTGCACGTCACTCTCTCGCGTGACGCCGATTTTCACCTTGATAGATTGACTGGTGGGCGTTAGAAGGTCATTTTTGAGGGAATATATGTGTGGGTTCCGGTCTGTTAGGATCGCGTGTGAGGTCCTCTTTTATGAGAGCTCTTTCCGCTAACGATCTTCCAGCCTTCGTTTGGGTCTAGAGTGTTGGCGAAACGGGTAGCACATCACTGACGAATCACAGCTCCTCTCGCCGTTGAATTAAAACCGTAGGACGTGCAGTAATGACTCTTACAGTCTAACTGTCGTGCAGGATGAATCCAACCTCAACGTAGACACAAATTCTCCGAGACCGTCCAAGAATTGTTTTACCACCACAACCGCCTTAACGGAATTAATTCATCTAAGTTATTTTATATCGCACTCCTAGTAGAGTGATTTAAATCGAAATGACATTTTCCCGATATTTTGTGTGGTTATTGTTCTATCTGCTTCACATTTCCCATAGTTTGTCAGTTGGCAATGATGCAGTATGCCACCCCACTCAGGGTACGAAGACCACGTCATCGTGACATTTTGCGTTCTCGCCTTTCTTTATAACTGACGCTTCCACGTTCTCGAAACTTGATGGAATGTAACCTATTTCTTTTGTGAAACCCAACTGGAAGAACTGCGTAAAATGCTCAACTGACCTGGTTTTTGCTCCCTGAGTTGGGTCGCTTACTGCGCCCTTACCATTTACCCTCTCTCAAGTCAGGAGCCATCTTCGATGATTAAAAAATAGCGTCGCACACACCCGAAGCGCAGACATAATATCAGGCCGAAAGTGCAGCGTTTTGACAAAATTCCCATTGAAATATGTACCCAAGCCCCCTATGTTCACTCCTGGAACTGACGCGATAAATCGGCCGGCGTGGTCAGTACTGTGTGTATATGTGGGGTGACCGACCCGAGTACTAAGAGGCTGAACGACCCCTTCCAAATATGACCTCCACGGCATTCTCACGCAGTTGAGATCCGAGTTTTGTTTTCCGCGAAAGTCTGCTGCATTGCGGGGGGGCAGATCGTGTGGGGCACGCGTAGACTAGCCGCTACCCCCCCCCCAGTTCGTTCTGACCCCGTCTTACCACCGATTCTAGGAGGGTGAGAGTGCAGTAGATGCTGTACGAGCCTGCTATTACTACAAACCAATCCCTGCACAAGCCACCATCCCTGCGCCCAACACGCTGTAAGTGGACGTCGTCATTTGCGACAGCCGACCGTTCACTTGTTTTCACTTTTGTTAGTCCTGATAGCTTAGCCTAGGGAGCTCTATCGAGATTTATAGAGCGCTTACTCTTTCTAAAGCAATTCTGTTTGATTTCGAGCCTTTCAAGGCATGGATCATCCCTCTCCGAGAGATTGATTTTCTCATTGCATCGCATTACTTTGATCACACTGTCTGCCAAATGTTTAACCTATGAAGCCAGTGAGAAACAGGAAATAAAACCCAACAACTATGCACATCGTCTGTCTTTGACTGCACTTTCCTCTTTTGCTCTCTCCACACCAAGTGAAACTTACAGTGAAACTTAAATCTCAAGAAATGTTGGCTGAAATTCTGAAATGTGTTTTCTACTAGGAAGGTTTACTTAGGCGGGGTCGGAACATTCATTATCATGGGACATAGTCCTAATATATTTCGGACTCGGCAGGATGTCAGCTTTTGAATGCTTTGCATTTTAATTTTCTGTAGAAACCGTACTCGGTAAAAAAGGACTACTTAAAAAGCATTAATTTCTACAATGATTGTGATGGTTTTGAAAATTAAAATACATTTTATAGAAACCCCGAAAAAATTGGCTTTCTTTCAGTCGTTTGATAGAGAATCGCATCCTTTATATTTTCTACCCGACATAGGAGTATAATAAGGTTTTGAAAAAGTTTCCTGGGTCCCGAATAATTTGGAGCCTGATAGACCGTTCCATTAGCCCTTAGTGATTTCAGTCTACAAGGTGCATGTGTTCCCCGTAAAGAAGATCACATATTCTTCTAAGCCTTTAAAAAGGCACTGTATAGAATCCATAAAATTTTGCAATGGATGCGGACTATGTTGCGCATTTCCTGAGGAGCAGTGGTAAACAGACAGGTATGATGCTGGATGAATGGACATTGCATCTCATAATTAGAAACTTTTTCAAAACCTGATTATACCCTTTCTTTGAGAATAAATTAAAAGATGACTTGATTCTCTATCAAACGACTGAAAGAAAGCATATTTTTGTTCGTGGTTTCTGTGAAATAAATTCGAATTTGCGAGACCATCGAAAATCGTTGTGAAAAATGCATGCTACTTAAGTAGTCATTTCTTACCGAATGCGGTCTCTACGGGAGATTTAAAAGCAGTGCATTCAAAAGTGGACGTATTGCCGAGTCCGAAATATCATAGAATTAAGCTGCAAGAAAGTCAGTTTTGCATCCGCGCTTAAGTAATCCTTCCTAATCGAAAACGCATTTCAGAATTTCAGCCAACATTTTACGAGATCGTTCACTCACTCTAGATAATTGTGACCCTTCTATTGAATTTCCTAGACCCCATATGATTTTCATAAATGCGATTTTACTCGTATTCGTTACTAACCTATAGACCGTAGAAAAAATCTGAAAGAAGAGGTAGCTTAATTGCCCAGGAAGACGATTTTGTGGAGATAAAACAATACGCCTCCGTGCGTAGGAAGCCGGCCTATGCTACTTAAAATCAAGGACCCCGCGCTACCGGCGCAATTCTGCTGTTAATGATTTCAGTACCGCTGGCAAATGTTATCCTGCAGTTTTAGCAGCATCCCCAAAAGTTATCCTACTGATGGCAGTAGAGGGATGAAGAGAATTATTGTCGGTTCCATATATCCCCGAAAATAGCACTCATACGACTTTTTAACTGCATCGTGTAGGGTTTTTTTAGCCAGTAGCTTTAGTTCAATATACTTTTCGAAAGGAGCCACAAGGACACTGTCTCTATGGATCACTGAGGCCTCAGAGGGCCCCAGGGTTTGAGATTTTGTCAGTCCAGTTTTTGTCGCTATTTCTCCAGTAGTACTTCCAAAATCAGCCAGAACTTATCTCTCATGGAGTCCTCCGAGGAATGACAACGACAAGAACCACAAATCATGGAAATAGGCGTTCAAGAAGGCATACGAACTGCATACTTACGTCTGATATGCAGGCCTCTCTGGAGTTCAAAGACGCGCTTGGATAGATTCAGAGAGGGACAATCTGATAGGTCAATTCCGCCCACCCCTTCCTTCCCCCAACCGGTTCGAACAGTACAAGTCTGAATGCGACAGTTTGGAGGCACAATCGATGGATACCTTCGGTAAGGCCCGACTTACTTACTTGTGCCCTTTATCATTCCGATAACCATCGAAGCTCAAGTTCCGTCCACCTCGAGTACTGAATTTGGGTCGCAGGCCGGGTCGAATGTCAACCAACCCAGTAGGAGTGCCTTCGATAATCTACCCATCCCACGTTCTGAGGAGGCAGCAATATATCCCCGTAACCTTCATAATCAGACGCGCATGCGTGCCCGATTCCAGGTCCTCGCTAACCGGCCACAGTCCGTCGCACTCAATGTGTGGGCCAGATTGACAAACCGGGCATCTTAACGCCGACTCCAATGACCGAGACCTTACCAAGCATCGGGCTATTGCGTGTTCGCATTCCTCTTACGCCGGCCCGCCACAACACATTTAGTCCACTCCCACTCCTGGCAGTTGAGCATTGCAACTACTCTATGGGCTTTTCCTACCCGGGGGTGAATATCCAAATGGCGTTACTCCGTTCCCCACCCTCTCGCCATCGACTGCGAAATTTCACGCGGTTAGCAACGCTGGCCAGCCTATCATAATCCCCACCCCCCCTCCCCCCCTTTTCGAAAGCCTATTTCGATTACCCTCCTGCCCGGGATTTAAAGTATAAGCAAAGAGGGGGGTCTGTATAGCTGGAGTTCTATTTTCAGATAAACAGCCTGATAGTATCATTAAAATACAGGGCGAAAGGACGTATAAATTGTTGCCGACCAAACTGACTGGTCTAGGTAACACAGGCAAACACGTTCGTAGTTCTCACGGTGCCTCTCTGTATTGAAATTGGAACGGCGGCTGCGTTGGTGCCGGTCTAGAGGTGGGACGACAACTGCGGCATTTCGGTGCGTAGGAGCGCGAATGCGTACTGGTGTGAAGTCAAGTATCACGCGTCAGCCAGCTGATTCGCGCGAGTAGGAGCTGGGATTGGAGAGAAAGTAGGCATGAAAGACACGGAAGACAGGGACAGATGCGGACAACAGCAGGACTCGGAATCAGCCAAACCGATGTGCAGTGGCCGCTGTCAGGGCCTCCGTCGCACAGGATGGACGAAAGATGTTCAGCCAGGCCAGAAAGAGGGCGTTGGGATCCGGTTGGGTGGCGGTTACCGCTGGGGTGGGTACCAAAAGTTCCGGGGTCGCAGTGACAGCGGATTGGTCTACCAGTGAAGAGGGCATTTTTTGAAGGTAGCGGGCATAGTTGACTGCCATTTCGAAAATCGGATTGACCATGGTAGGCAGCGAGGAAGAGGCGGTGGAAGAGGCAGTAGAGGAACAGTAGGAGGAGGAGGATGGGGAGGAAGAGGAGGGGGAGGAGGAGGAAGAAGGAAGAGCTGTGGAAATCGAAGGCACCGCCGCAGCTGGCATTCCTGTGGAGTGTGCGACTGTCGGTGGCTGTAGATGAGATAGGGCCTGGGGTTCCGATGGTTTTGAGGACTGGCTGTGCAGAGAGGCCAGGTGGGAGTATATGTGTTGCACTAGGCTATTCATATCCGCACACACTAGGCCACAGTACAAACACTGAGTACTGGGATCGTTGTTAGAACTGCCAGGACCAATAAGTCCATTTGGCTGCTGCTGCTGCTGCTGCGAGCGCAGCTGCTGATTAGGTTGGGGTTGGGAGAGGGACTGTGAGCTACGAGTGCCTTCGTTGCCCTCAAAGAGTAGCCCAGGGGACGCAGAGGAGGTGGCAGGAGGCCGATGAGTTTCGGTGGACTGGGAACGGTCCATCAGCGCCTGAGCCACAGTGACAAGAAGCTCACGAAGGCGTTCTGGAGGTGCACCGAGTGCGTTGCCCACCGTGTAGAACATCTCCAAACAGCTGGTGGCGGAGGCAGACGAGGAGGGAGGGGCTGGGACTGCTGTGCCGGCAGTTGAGGTGATGTCCAGCATGGTGCCGTTCCTGATGGAGAAGGGGGAGGTAGAGTGGGCCGGTGGGCTGGAACGCAGGGAAGAGGGTGAGACAGAGGAGGGTGTGGATGGCGTGGAGGTGTTGGAACGGCGTTGACTGGCAATGGCAGTAGGGTGGAGTGTAAAGTCAATTGGCTTGGAGGTTGCAGCAGTGCCGCTGGACGGCCTACTGAAGGATTGACGTCGCACACGCTTCTGCTGGCGACAGTAATTCGTCTGCAGACGGGATTCCAGCGGTTTGTTCCTCTTCTGGCGGTCACCCGGCAGTTTAAGGCTTGAGGAGAGACGGGCCAATTGAATGAGTGAATCAGAGGATGGATGCGTTTGAAGGTCGGCCTCGTCACCGCTCAGGGACTTGAGGCCGTGTTCTTTGTTATTTGCAACCGCGGAAGGACTTGGGGGGAGGAAGGTGGCGGTTGTAGTGGTGGTGCCGGTGCTACTGGGTGACGAGAATCTCACCGGTGGACTGAAACGATGGGTAGCGCTGAGGCTTACACGCGTCTTCGAAACACCGGATACAGTCGGGGATGTTGATTGACTCATGGAGAACAGACTGGATTCTCCCAGAGAATTTGAATAGGATTTGTACGGACCGCTAGCCGCCGAGGAGGGGGAAGATAGTTTAGAGCGTTCAGAAGACTTGTGGTGCTCGAGACCAATATTCTGACATGTACGGGCGAGCATAACGAGCGGATTCTGGCTGAGAAAATCACTCTAAAACAGAGAACGCGAGAGAACAGCATTTAATTCCAGTCGGCACCTCTCAGTGTAAAAGCGGAGAAACAGTCCTGTATAAAAAAAGAGAGGGAAAAGTCCGCGGATTTGGCGGATAGTCAACTTCCGACAGCATCATGTCAAACTAGATTTTTCAGTCATCCGCTAAATCTACCGACAGCAGAGGTCGCGCTTAAATCTGACAACGTTTTGCAGTGGATCGGAAGGTTACCACAGTGATTATGTCTTTCAATAAATTTCACTGATGGATCAGAGGGGAAAATGACGTAAATCTCGGTCTGGTGAAATAAAACCACAACCAGAAAACAGATTAAGCCCTCGGCTAGGGAGTTTGGAGGTCCGAGGACCGAAATCTTTACGAGTTTACGCACATGTATCCCGTGGGCAGAGGGCATGTGCCTTAGTCGAAAGTAATAGAAGGAAGCACAGTACTTATCCGAATTTTCGCTACTAAGCCAACATCCAATCCTGTGAGATACGCAGAGTGTGGGTCCAAAACAAAAGGGCTACAGGAATTTCACCAGAAACTGCTCCCTATCCACTCTGAACTAACAGCTCTGAAAGTCCTGCGCTGTCCTGAAAAACGCATGAGAATCAGATGTGAAGCCCAACTCCGGTGATAACAAACAGCAAAGAGGTCACCAGAATGTCTTCCCTGTGTTCTGTCACCTTTATTTTTTCATTGGCACCGCGTCTCATTCGTGTCACCTCCAGATTAGAAGGTCGGACTACTAAGAGCTGGAAAATGTGCAGAGTTCAGTGGATAACACACATGTCCACGCACAACGCAGGCTGTGACCACGGTGACCAAGGCACAGTCACCACAGAGGATGGATTCCGCTAGACCATTTCTTGCAAGCATTATTAACCATCACCGGGGTACTGAGTAATAACCGGGGGGGATTGGCGTCTGTCGCTTAAGTAACCGCTTTGATCTTCTTCAGAGTCGCTGAGACTGGTTTCTACCAGACGACGCCGCTGTCGTCACAGAGAGGCCGGAAGCGACTGCTAGAGCGTGTCCGGGCTGTCTGGGGGCGCTTTTTGAAAGCCCAACCGCGACTGACGAGCCAGACATCACACCTTCAACGGGGGGCGCCGTCTCAGTCAGAGCCGGAGCTAGGCAGCCGCCACCTCCTCCTCCTCCTTCCCCCCCATAAACCGCTCAATGAAAAAGTAGGTCTGGAGACAGTAGCGTCACAGCAGCGGCCACACCCGAGGATGATTAATTAGGTTCATTTAACACACGAGGACAGAGTTATGCAAGCAGACGCCCACACAAACAAACGCTGATTAGCATACCTCAAGTGCTTTCGAGCCTAGACAGAACTCCTAGTGCATGTACCGTTCTGTAGATTTACTCACGCCCGCTTTGAAGTCCGAAATACCGGAGAGGGGGAGGGGTGGTATGAATGCACTTGTGCACATTTCTGTTGACAAGGCTCCTGACTTTGCAGACAGCCGGAGCGGTAAACACGACGTCTGTCTGTCTGGTTGGATTCAATGTGGCTGCTTCAGTACAACCTCCTCCTCCTCCTCAGCCTCCATCATTAGGGCTACATACTGAGATGTTAAGGAGAGGTTTTAACACCCCGAATTCCACTTGCTAAAGATAGCCAGCGGAGTTCTCGACTCGACACTGATAGCCCCGTTCTCTTAAAACCACAGCCCAATTGCTCTTAAGACAATCCCCACCACATAATACTGTGTCCATGTACCAAGGACCCACTGGCTTTCGGTAAGAGTCGAGGAATGAGACTACTTGGGTAACCTACTTCGCGAAAAAAAACCCTCATAACCAGTACGGGCGGTGGAAACTTCATTACGCGAACAACACCCTCTTAACCAGTACGGGCGGCGGAAACTTCACTACGCGAACAACCTGGCGACAAGTTAGATGTTTTCAATGAAGCGCCAATGGTTCGGCCGCCTCTTCAATTAATCCGCAAAATAGGAGAGTAAACCGACTCCGAACTACTCCGCATGTTCCTTCATCCTTTTTTTAAAAAATAAGTTCGATGTGATACGTTTAACGCTTTAACCACTTTTCATATCTTAACTGAAAACCCTTAGTGACGGGCACAATTTGGAGTGGATATCGCCTTGAATCAACTAATGGTCGGTCAGCTCTCTTGATACACGATCGTATGTTTCAGTCCTTAAATATGATAGAGCCAGGCAAAGGCTGGTTAAACAATAGACTACCAGCCCTTTCAACCAGTCACATTTAATATCCTCAAAGGGTGAGTAATTGCGAAGATGCCCGTATGCTGGTGCTAATTAAGGTAATTCAAACGTTCCATCTTCCGGCAAGCGTTAGGTCCACACTTTACCTCGCACGGCTCCTGAAAAATAGGCAGGTTGTATTGAGAAGCTGCACTGTGCATGTTGGAGCGTCGATAGTGCGTCTGAACTGGAGCTCTATAAATCGTATAAATGACAGCGTCGCATTTACAGCCAACACCTGGTACATTACGATTGACGGAAAAGTACCCAACGCTAGATATTTAGGATACCAAGCCTCTTGATGACAATCGACAACGTGTGTAGTCACACCTCCGAGCGGCTTGAAGAGCAAGTCTTGCGTCTCTTGGGAAAGAGAACTCATCGAGTCATAGGCGCCCTTTGAAGTTGAAGCCTCGATCAGCCTACGTCCCTTCAGGAACTTATTTCCATGGAGCGCCGGGGGCCTCGTTGCCGGAAAACGCTCCAATTTAAATGCAACGAAACGACTTCAGACCAAAATAGATGCATCCACGACTTATAAACTATGTTTGTGGCAGGAAACATAAACTAGAATAAGCGGCCTTAACTTTTTTGCCACTCCGATCAATTACATCACACTAGACCGCCTATCTTTAAGCACCGAGGCAATTGCTTCAGGAGAAACTTAGAAATTAATTGCTCCAAATCACTAGAAACTGTCAAAAATAGTCCGAACAATGTCACAAAATAAATGCTTACCATGTTCTTCTTCTCATTCTCAAAATGATCCGGTTGAAGGTAGGACATTTCACCAAGTGTTCCACTTTGCATCCTCATCCAGATGGCGGGAAGGAATTAAAGATAGGAAAAGTCTTGAATGTGGACCCGATGGTCTTAGATCCTGGGGCAGGAGAGTGAGAAGTCAAACAGGAACAGTAATCCCGGTTGCACGAGTGACACAGGGTTAGAAGTCGGCGACAGAGAGCCTGACCGAAAAATGTCGCGCTGGTGTAGTAACATGATAAAGTAGGTTTACAACCTACAGGTATGCGCCAATCAAATGTTAAGAAAACCACCCGGCCCCCTGATTGGGTATTTTAGTCGGTGCATGCACCAATCGTGGGGGTAATTTTACTATCAGCACTGTGCGCCAATTAAAAGTGGCATAGGCTTGCGAGAACTGTGATTGATGTTTTGAAATTGTTGATGATGTTAGGCGCCCCCTGGTTATTCATTTTTCCCGTTGCTGTGATCGGCCTGCCGATATTGTGTGGACAGACTTATGAAAATTCTCCGTTGTGAATGGTTTTCTCGTCTTTGGTTATTTGCATATGGCAAAGACTCGGCTAAAGACACAATTTGCATATGCTGAGAGGCTTCCACATCTTCACTTTCTTATGCCTATCTTCCATTTTCGCTAAATTTCGGTCAAAAAAACCAGTAGATACACTTCCACGCATTGACGTTTGGGTATTCTAGCTTCGAATTTCACATGTCTGATTCTAAATTACAGTGACGTAAATTCCTTTAGTAGGCGCCAATCCATTCCGCCTTCCAAAAAGCCTTAAACAAGTTATATAAATGAATGGGCAACGTTGAGCATTCTTGTCCTCTTCTTTTGCGATCATGTCACCGCGCTTCAAACCTACTGTGAATTCTACATTTAATTAATTTCGCCTGCTCCAGTTATGATGTTACACTATTGAGTAGAACATACGGGAATTCATGCCCAATGGTTCGCTCTCAGTTTGAAAAAGCAGATGTCACCCCCATGCGTGGATTTCTCAACTGGGTCGGTTAGTAATAGATCATTCTTACCCCTCGGTCACCGAGCAAATTTTGGCAGTAATCACGTAAAGGCAGACAGAAACGCTCACCCGAACTGTATATCCAGTGGCATGAACCTGGATGGAACTGTAATCATCAAATGCAATCTTGTGAACACTGGTAAAAAGCAGTCAAGGTGGGACGAAACACAGATGGTGGAATTGTGGCTTCCACGGGAATTGCACATCGAAATGCAGGAGATCCTGCGCTCTCTTTAGGAAAATTAATTTGCACAGTTATTTTTTTCTGTCAACAAAATGTCCCCCCCCCCCAATCTGAGTTCGCTTCCACTTGTCCCATTGTTGAGGTCTTTAGGTCCTTCACCTTGATGCTAGCTCTTCTGGCTACTTTAATGCAATCTTTTACATTGCCACCCATCCGTCGCACTCCAAAATGCATTTTTATGCCAGACGTTGAACTTAAAACCAAGCTTATAAGAACTTATACTCCAGTTTTCCGATCTAAAAATTTAGCAATTGTCTGTTCGAGAACAAATTCTGCTCTTCAGAGTAACTAAGGTAAAGAAAATGAATCTCTTGTATAACTTGTAAGGATTGCCTCACTCCTGAAGGATAAGCACCGGTTGATTAACCTTATCGAGTGTGTTTTCTGACCTGGGCAGTATTTTTAGAACGAACTGGCGACCTAATGTGTTTTTCTCTCGAACTACCCTGAGAAAGTAGTATCCTCGTGCGATTCCAGCACTTCAGTTTTGTTCACTGAGAGTACAACCACCCAAGAAACATTTTAAACAAGTGCCCCTGCCCGGCAAGCCTACTGGACACAAGATAGTAAAGATGACTGAAGAACAGATGTCACCATAAGAGAAAGGATATAGTGACTAATTTGTGGCAGTGACTTCGAAGTAAGACTACTGTGCTGCTTCCTTACCCCCCGGCGACGTCGAGGATATCCGTCTCAGTACCATCAGGGCTTTCGCTGTATGCATGTAACGCATCTCTAAAGAAGACGAATTATCACCAATAGCTGGCAACAAGAGGGATTTATTAACTTTAGCCAACTAAGTACAAGCGGCCCCTACATGCAGTTCTATTTGGTTATCCCAGGGAAGTCACATTATGAGGAGCCTGTCCTGTCTTCACTTGCCAGTGTTAGCGTTTTGGAAATCTTCTCAAGCACTTTCACTGAATAAGTCACTGTCATTTGAAGCGTCCGATCAGACTGCCTGCTTCTCTTACTAAGCAAACTGATATCACGGTTGATTCCTTTACGGCTCGCATTTCACTATGACACATATAACTTAGTAATGACCCGGGGTAAGCTCTTCTAAGCCAATGAAAAACACTATGACCACCAGAAGATACCCGCGGTACTACATACAGATAATCGTACATTTTAGCTCAAATCTTTCGAAGTTATGAATTGTTATAGGTGCGAGGAGTTTTCTGTTCTTGGTCATGTCCGCTTTTTCATACGCAAATTGCATGCAGAACAAGGTCTTGGAACGATTTTCTCCGGTCGACCGCAGTTGAACCTCGAACGAGTTAATTGGTACTTTAAAGCGTCTGAGGTCAAGTTTTAAACAGTCAGCAAATCAGTGGTGCTGCGAAAAATCGAAAAAGGCCGACCATATTCAGACGCCATGGTGATACAGACTTAGCAAAAACACACGCTACATGCGATGGGGAGAAGTTCACTTCGCTCAAGGGAAAAGCATGAAACCGGTGAAAACTACGAAAATAAAAAAAGGCCGTGTTTATTCCAAACGCATCCAGCTGCTTCTCCTACTATGCGTTTATTGGCTCCAAGATGATCTGATTCACAGGCTCTGCAGTCGACCATGAGCATCTATCGGCGTAAGTTGTGAAAACTGTCTGATTGGCATGGCCTGGACATGTTGACTGTCTCAACCCTCAGCACAAATTACGCCGACCGCCTGGAACCGTGTTCTAGCGTTTTCGTGCGAATTCTGCCGGCGGGTTGCAGGTAGGAGCCCTTAGCCTGGTACATTCTGCATGGCCGGGTGGTGCGTGGCACGCGTAGAGAGACTATATGTCTCCACTGCTCCTAAGTCTGGCTTGCCGACCCTGCCCCGCCACCGGAGTCTGGTGGGTGAGGGAGGAGAGGGTGCGGTAGACGCTGCACAAGTCTGCCTCCCTGTGCACTTATTCAAGCGTAAGTCGCTGCTGTTGCGTACACTCTTGGGAGGGGGGGGATTGTGGTGGACGCTGTCATTCACGACGGTCAGACTCGCAGATGCAAACAGTTCTGTTGGGCGGATGTATTTGACCGAAGAGGACGCGTTTCAGTCCAAAACCGCTGCTGTCTCCGTTCTTCCATGTTCGTTTGACAACCTCTGACACAGTTCACGACCTTATGGGCGACAACTCATTGCCCATCCGCTACCACAACGGAGGCCGTGACATTTTGTTCTAAGAGGTTGATCAGTCCGGACTTTGTCCGTGTTAGTGCGGAGGCAGGTATGTTGTTCCCAAACTACGAAAATAAAAAAGCCGTGTTTATTCCAAACGCATTCAGCTGCTTCTCCTACTATGCGTTTATTGGCTCCAAGATGATCTGATTCACAGGCTCTGCAGTCGACCATGAGCATCTATCGGCGGAAGTTGTGAAAACTGCCAGGTTGGCATGGCCTGCCGCCCTACCTGGGCATGTTGACAAATTACGCCGACCGCCTGAAACAGTGTTTCAGCATTTTCATGCGGATTCTGCCGGCGGGTTCCAGATTGGAACCCTCAGCCTGGTACATTCTGAATAGCCGGACCGTGCATGGCACGCGTAGACGGACCATTTGTCTCCCCCGGCCCCTGAGTCCGCGCCTAAGTCCGGCTTACCGACATTGCCCTGTCAACGGAGTCTGGTGGGTGAAGGAGGAAAGGGTGCGAGTCGCTGCTGTTGCGTACACTCTTGGGAGGGGGGGGATTGTGGTGGACGCTGTCATTCACGACGGTCAGACTCGCAGATGCAAACAGTTCTGTTGGGCGGATGTATTTGACCGAAGAGGACGCGTTTCAGTCCAAAACCGCTGCTGTCTCCGTTCTTCCATCTTCGTTTGACAACCTCTGACACAGTTCACGCTGCTGATTTTCGACCTTATGGGCGACGACTCATTGCCCATCCGCCACCACAACGAAGGCCGTGAAATTTTGTTCTAAGATGTTGATCAGTTCGGACTTCGTCCGTGTTAGCGCGGAGGCAGGTATGTTGTTCACAAATTAACCAGAAATTCTGGCATCTAATAGTTCTCGGAATACTCGTTAGTCACCTATGGTTACCCAGCTTATAACATAATGGAAAAACCGCAGACAAGAAGATATGGACGGGAGGAAGAAGCAAAAAAAGAAGAAGGGTAGGAGGAAGAGGAGGAGAGAGAAGAAAGGAGGAGGAGATCGCAGGGAAAATGTTGAGTGCAAGGGGAAGCGGAATAACGGTACGTTTGCAAGTAAACCGCTGAAAGCTCAAAGTACAGGCTTCTGCGGCAACGGAGGAGTAGGATGGCAACTCCAAAAGCATACCCTAAAATTCAGTGTGACTGTAAACCTCAATTATTATTCACTGTTTCCACTGTTTAAGATTTCCTTCCCTTCCTGACTAAATGTAAACTTACCAGCTGCGCTTTATTCAAAGTCCGTTAGTTTTTAAAATTGCTTTTTGCCTATTTTTTTAATTATCGTGCTCACTTTCTTTGCCGAATGACAGCGTAGGATGAGACCATCGAAAGAAATCTACCTATTTTCTGTGTCTTCTTGCTCTCTATCCTGTGTGTTTCCCCACCCGTAAAACCCCCTCTACAACCATTCAACGTATGGCACGCTCCACGGGCTAGTTCAGGTTAGTTGGGGGTCCTACACCCTATCGTTGCCGTTTCCGCTTTCGGCTAGATCGCAGTTGGTAGCCAGGAATGGGGAAGTGAACGGCGACCTTAACCCTAATCCTAACCTTAACCCTAACCCTAACCTCAACCTTAAACGTTAACCGTTAACCTTACTGACAACCCTAAC